GGGAGGTGACCCACAGGTTGAGAAACACTGCTCTTCCTGGACCAGGGGAGGCAAAGCCATCAGAACAGCAGTACCAACTCCGAGGCAGAACCAGGGACCAGATTCCTTTCTGTTTTAATGCCTTTTCTCCTTCAAGCCTCTCACCTGCAAGGGAAAGTTAAAACAGTGGGGGAGTCCACTGGGAGCCTTCATCTGTCCATCCCCCAGGCGTCTGGAGCCACCACAAGGAACCATTGGAACCTCCGGGTAAATGCTTGCACTGAAAGCATCCCCCAAAGCATCATGGGAGATGGGGGTGGCTCTTCCGCATGTTTTCTGAGCTGACTTTGTTAGTGATCTCAGGAACCCACAGTGGACCACCACCCAGGGACACTCAATACCTCCAGTTGTCTCTTGTTAAATAACTAACTCCACGGTTGGCGGGCTCAGTAGCGAGGAAGGGGGGGACAAGCTCCGGCTTGCTGTGGTTTCTCTGCCTGCAGACTCCTGCTGCTCTCACTCTGTTTATTCATTTGCAGGAGATCAATCTACTTGGTTTGGCAAGGCTGGCTGATAACCAAGGTCTGGCTCGGATGCCACCCAAGCAGGGACGAGCCCTCTCTGTAGTAGCCCAATTTGTCATGCTAAGTCACTTTTCAAAAACACCCATGTTGTGTTTATTTAACACAAGCTTTGAGCCAGCTAGTTAAAAAGACTCACCCGAGGAAGGAATGGAGACCCATCCCACCCAGCCTCCATGGCTGTAAGTCACATCCACTGATCCACTCGTTAGAACCTAGGCTCTACCCCAGCTATACACACAGTGCTAGGCACATGGGTTTGGTGAAGCTACTTTCCGCTCCTCTGTGTGTGTGTGTGTGTGTGTGTGTGTGTGTGTGTGTGTGTGGTATATGTGTCATGCATGTGAAGATGTGCATGCCTGTGCATGTGTGTGGAAGGCAGAGGGGTTGCTGGGTGTCCTGATCTATCACTCACCTTCTTAGTCCTTGAGACAGAACTCTCTCACTGAGCCTGGAGCTAGGCTGTCAGTCAGGAGGCCCAGCATCCTTCTATCTCTTCCCTCACTCCCCAGCGCTGGGGTCACAGGAGGGGACATGCTCCTTGCCTTTGGAATCCAAGTGCTGGAGTCAGCTGATCTGTGGTTCCTGATCAGTTTAGGGTACAGGTCCCTTCCAGAGGATTCAAAGTTCTCCCTAGAGAAACATTCCCATTAATGTTTTCATCTTTCATAAAGGAGACACTGAGGCCCTGCAGTGTGCCGCATCTGCTCTAGGTGTGGGAACACAGCAACAAAGGAGATGGGAGAGATCCAGATCCTATGTCCAGGGATTCTGGGATGCAGGATTGTGAATGTATGTGTGAATGAGTGTGTATTTGTGATCGAGAGAGTGCGACAATGAGAGTGCATGTGAGTGAGAGTGTGTGTATGTGTGAATGAGAACGTGTGCAAAAACGTGAGTATGTGCATGTGAGAATGTGTGTGAGAGTGTGAGTGTGTGTGAGTGAGTGTGTTAGTGTGTGTGAGTGAGTGTGTTAGTGTGCCTGTGTGTGTATGTGAGTGTGTGTGAGTGTGTGTGTGTGTGTGTGTGTGTGCGTGTGTCCCTGCCCGGTGAAGGGAGCCAGCAGTGTCCCGGAGCCGTCTCCAGTCAGCAGTCACTCACCACAGTCCCTGGGAAAGCTGTTAGCATTTTTGAAGAGGTAACCAATCAGTGCATAATTATTGCAAAGGGACTGCCTTTTTGTTACCATTTTTGGGTCCGTTAGCTTCCCAGGGCTGTCCCTGCAGCCTGTGGCTCCTGACTCATCCTCTTCTGCACACAGCCAGCTCATCCAAGGGCCTGGGCATTTAAAAGCTGTGTCTTCGCTTGTGGCTGCTCCCGGCTGGCACAGGAAGGGCGCAGAGTGGTGCCGGTAGGCCTCCCCAGGCTCATGGAACTGTCTCCTGCGGGCTCAGCTCAGTTCAGGATGGAAAGACAGCTTCCCGGTCTGCCCTACAGGCTCTGTGTGCCCACAATTTGCAGATGGACAGCTGAGGCTCAAAGGGGCAGGGGCTTGCCCTGGGTCATCTGTTAAGTATATTATGAGGAATGTTGATTCAGTTCAGACTAGAATCCCTGCCAGTGCACTGGGTGAGCTTGCTGCCCCCTTCCTGGCAGCCTCCTGGTTATGTGTCTGCAGAGACCATTTCTGTCCCCACACCTGTCTCTGGGCACAGGCTGAGGGTCCTGCCCTCTTACCACGCAGTTCAAGTTTGGTTCTATCCTCATTACACGGTAGAGTCTGGTGCTCTGTGTGCAGTTTCTGAGCACTTGTGGCTGAAGTTCTCCATCTGTTAAATGGATCCATTAAGACTCTTCTGACCACTCAGACCCTGCCCGTCCTCCCAGTGTTACCCAGACCCCGTCCATCTTATGCAGTGTCTCACTATCTCTGTCTGTTTGTCTCTGCCCCTCTGTCTCTGTCTTTCTCAGGTCTTTGCCATGTAGATCATGTTGGCCTCAAACTTGACTTGTAGCCAAAGATGGCCCTGAACTCCTAATCCTCCTGCCTCAGTCTCCAGGCTGCCCCCGCATTTCTGCACGCACTGGTCTTTAACAGACACACATGGGAACGCACAAGGTGCTGCAGTTCTAACCGTCCTCAGCTGAAAGCCAGGTAGTCGGTGCCTGGCAAACTTTTACTGAGGGCAGGAGAAAGGGCTCAAGCCACACAGGTGCGGCGGCGTCCACCTCACCACACCTCCGTCCTCAGAGCGGCCCCTGGACTGAGAAACAGAATGTTCCGGCATCTGTGAGCACTGACACTAGGAAAGCCCTCCCCGTGCCTCTCTGAGTGCCGTGCGCATGGCTCTTGGTCACTGTTAATGCTTGGGGTGTAAAATGTCCCCGAGGCCTCATGTGTCTAAACGCTGGGACCCCAGAAGGTGGCAGAGTTTTGGGAGGCTTTCAGACAAGGTGTCTGGTTGGGGGTAGGGCCATAGGGATGGGACTTCAGGGTCCCGCCCCCCCCAGCCCCCCCTCTCGTGCTTCCGGCTAGTCTGTTCCCTACTTGGCTCTGCTTGGCTGTGCAGAGTCCCGCCTGCATGCTCCCACCGCCCTCTGTTGTGTTCTAGGCCATGATGGACAGTAGCCTCACACGCACGAGAGCCACAAGTCCTTCCTGCCTCGAGTTGCTTCTGTCACAGCAACGAGAGAAGAAGTGGCAAGAGGACACTTGCTGTGTGTTATTTTACACTCACGTTCTCCTTCAGGGCCCAGCAACCCCGAAAGAGGCCCTCCACGCCCCCATATTATGGTTGAGGAAACTGAGACTTAGTCTGGGCTCAGTTTCCCTAAATGTTTCCTGCAGGGGTGGTGGTGGGGGCAGGATTTGAACCCAGGGTCTCCTGACCCCCGTGTCCTTAACATATCCTGTAGTCTAAGAGCTGAGCGACTGGTTCCTCATCAGGATGTCAGCTCTGCTCCACAGGCGGGTTCTTCTGAGTGGCCCTTGGTGTTGGTGGGGTACAGGGCGTACAGAAGGCGTTCAACACAGGATGGTTGAACAATTAAACAAAAAGCCTTGAGGCTTACATCACCCACTTAGATCCTGGCTTGGAAGGAAGAGAGTTGTGGATGAATTGGCTACTTGAACTTCTCCCGCTGCCTGCCTGGGCCTCTGCAGAGCAGGACTTGGCCTTTCTATGGTCAACATGTCCTTGTCTTTTACCCTTGTAGGGGGGCATGGGAGGAGATGTTGTCTTTTACTGTGGTAGGGGGACATAGGGGGACATGGGAGGAGATGAAGGCACCTTTGTGCCCTTGGGGAAGTGTGCAAGACGTATCCAGGGCTCTGTCAGCCTCTCTGGGTTCATGCTTCCTGGGCTCCGAGTTGCTCCTCAGTGATTTATTGTGCTATCTGCAAACTCATTTTTTTCCCCTTCTGGGCCCACAGAAGAGCTTCTGTATTCCCAAACACATTTGCTCCCTTAAAACTAACACATTCAGTCCTGTTGCCGCTGGTGTCTGCGAGCAGGCCCAGGCTTAGCTATTTTTGGGCTTGTTTCCAGGAAAATAATTTACTTTTCGTTGTGAGGTCTGTCAAGCTCAGTGGAATGATATTTTTTTTTCGTGACGCCGGACAAGTAAATCCTAAAAAAGCTGAGGATTTAAAACCTTGCCTGCAGAGATGGCTCACGGCTGGGCTTATCTTGTCGATTAAAATAAAGAGAAGCTCCCAGATTGCATCCAGCTGGACCAGCCAGGGTCCTCAGTGGTCAGGATCACGGCAGTGATGACAGTCATGGCTCATGGACATCACCTTGGGGACTGGGGCTGCAGCTCAGGTGGGGCACTCGATACTGGGCGTGGAAGCACATAGTCCTAGCATGCTGGATGCAGAGGCAGGAGGATCAGAAGGTCAAGGCTGTTCTTGGCTGCACAGCAAGTTCGAGGCCAGCCTGGGCTACATGAGACCTTGTTCCAATCAATCGATTTTTAAAAAAGAAAAGATTATCTTTTGAGGGTTAAAATAGCTCCCTTCCCAGCATCGGGAGCTCACATGTCCGCAGCTCGATGGAGCTGGAGTCAGTGTGAGTGGCTTCACAGGATCTGCTCAGGTTCCTCCCCTGAGAGACAGGAAGAATAAATGGCCTCCTGTTGGAGTCTCACGGGTAGAGTGAGGACAGAGGGTGTGTAGAGACTCACACATGCCCAGTGCCTGGAACGCAGACAGCGTGGCTGATGCTCCGGCAGCCACTTTGGACCATGAGGCAGACTCGAGTTTGTTGATGGAAAGCTGAAAGCTCCAGGGCACCGAAGATGGGGGAATTCACTGATAGCGCTTCTCTGGGCTTCTGCTTGCTGTCAGCCCAGGAGGTGCAAGGTGCAGGCATGTTACACTTGCTGAGAGCCACAGATTGCGTCAGGTTTTGTGTCTTCTAAAATCAGAAGACATGAGTGGTTTTCCGAGTCACTGTGGTACGACACCAGGAAGAAGGGACTTAAGAGAGGCAGTGTTTGTTCTTTGCTCAGGTTCAGAGGAGGCCGGCCAGTGTGGAGGGGGGAGGTGTGGGAGCTTGCCTGCCTCTGGGCAGGGCAGGAAGCAGAGACTGGAGAGGAAGCACTGTTGAGCTTTAAGCCTCAAGGCCGCCCATCGTTTTCCAGTAAGGCTCCTCACTCAAAGAGGGCTTCCAGAAGGTGCTGCCCAGAGTCACAGCTCAGAGGATCTAGATGGTAAGTATGGACCCTGAGGCCTGACGGTATCTGAAGACAAAAGAGACAGCATGGCTGCCAGAGGGTAACTGAGTGTGGCAGGGCCTTGGGGGTAGATGTCGGGCAGATGTTCTTGAGGTCCCAGAGGGCTGAGGCGGGGACCACACTCTGGCTTTGTGGAGAGCATGGCTGTGGGTTGAGTTTGCAGACATAGGAGTTGTGTGCCTCTCCTGGTGCTGGTGGCTTGGCTTGGGTTAGAGTAGAAGTGTATCGGGGTGCAGGTGTGGTGTGATTGTGGTGTGTCTGGTGTCTTGTGACATTCTTCCTCCTATCTGAAGCCTCTCTTTGGGGTTTCCGGTCCTCCACCAGGGAGCATATCTTTTTTGTTTTTGCTTTTGTTTTATTTTTTTTTTCCATCAGCAACATCTCCTGTGTGATTCCCAGTGTGGACAAGGTTCCCCATCACACAACAGCTCATGCAGGAGCATCACTGTGAGCTCCCTGGGGAATCTTGCCTGAGAAGTCTCCTTAGACAGCTTGGAGCCTCCATGACAGGAGTGAGCCGCTATCTTTGGCCACAGGCCCTCCCTTTTCCTCTTTGTTGCCTGCCCCTCACCTCCATGGCCACTTTAACTCCTGGGTCACGTCGTTTGGCTTCTGGTGACTCTGAGGCTGCCGTGGAGTGGGGCTACCATGCTTGCCCTGTACCAGCTGGGATCCCATCTCTCACATCCCTTTAAACACATTTTAAAAATAAATGGATCCACAATCAGGGTCTGATGGCACAGACATGTTTGTTTGTTGTTTGTTTTCAGGTACTTGGGAAGCTGAGGCACAAGGATAGCAAGTTCAAGGCCAGTGTGGGCAGCTTCTTTAGACTCTGTCTCAAGTAAAAAGCAAAAAGAGGGTTGAGGATGTGGCTCTGTGGTAGAACACTGGCTTGGCACATGTGAGGCCCTGGGTTCAATCCCCAGTACTGCCAAAAATCCAAAATAAAACCAAACCACCATCTGGAGTCCACATACCAGCACTGGGCAGTAAAACATGCCAGGACCACAGCATGTCTGTGAGAGCTGATGTGGAATTCTCTTATGTGGAATTCTCTTCCTTCATTAGCCCCCATGAGTACTTGTAAGTAGAAGATTCTAGAAACAGAATTAGAGAAGGGGCCATTCACCTTCCTTCTGTTCATTGGTAGAGAAAAAAAACAAGGCTCATGGATCATTGCTCATTTGCACCCCAAGAGTCAGATATCTTGCCTCCTGGTTTCCCTGCCACAAAGAAAGTTCTAGAACATGTGCACACTCACTCAGGCTTCTCTAAATGAAGGGTTTGTTCCAAAACACAGTGCTTGCAACATGTGTGTGGTCATCAGTCTCTGCTGTTATAATTTTTCATGCTCGGCCCTGAGACACCCACTGCTCTCCTGCAGCCCCACACCACCTGCAGCCCTGGTACTTGAAAACATGCATACATGGCCCTGCTCAGCAAACCCCTGCTGTGTTCTGTACTGGCTTTTAGCAGCTGGAGGCAACCAGGGGCTGGGGCAGGAGGATGCTGAGGAGTGAGCGCCCTGTTCTCAGCACCTCTGAAACTCAGTGAGACTTTGCCTTCTGTGGGTTTGCAAGTGGGGAAAGACATGGGGTGGCTTATTTACCTTTTTCTACATTTCCCCAATCTGTTTCCATAGCAACCCTAATAGGGATTGGGTTGCTAGAAAAGCATTCGTTTCTATAGAAACAATTTGTTCTATAAGAGAAACTATTTACTTGGTTGTATATGAAATCTAAAGTTAGGATTTGGGTTTTTTGGGCAGAGAATGTTTCTCAAGCTACCTACAGGTGGATGTGACATCTTCAGGCTCCAAAGAGCCATCCTGGGTGTTCTACAGGTGCTAGACAGACGGTCTGGGGACAGTCCCTTGGCATCTTTACCATGAATCTTAGTTTTACATTAAAACAAAAGTGTGGGTCACTCCCATGCTTGGATGCAAGGGGCAAGACTCAGTGTTCTTGATTTCTGGGAGTGAGTTGGACATAGAATCTTGCTGCTTTCTTGTTCTTCCTTTAAGAACTCTGAGGAGTTTTTAAGAGAAGGCAGTTTGGTACAAACAGCAAAAACACGACTCAAAACTGGGTAAACCCCAAATCCGCAATAACAAGGACATTATGGCTGAGGTTTTAGGGTGTGGGTGGCCTCAGGGAAGGCTGGGTCTTGGGCAGCCACGATGACCCAGTCTTTCCTTCAATGCCACTCTCTATTAGGCTGATGTCACTCTCAGGCAGACTCTCCAAGAGGCTCCGGGTTGAGCAGCCTTATTCTTAGCTGTTTCAGCTTAGACTCTAAGGGTGTGGGATCCTGAGTGACGGACAGTTAGTATCAACTGTCAACTTGACAGAATCGGATAGCCAGGAGATGGTCCCCTAGGCATGCCAGCTTGGGGGAGCGGGTTATCTTGATTTCTTAATTATCTCGATTAATTTAATCCATGTGGGAAGACTCACCACTGTGGCTCACACCATTATCATGAGCTGGTCATGCCGGAAGGAAAAGGAGAAAATGAGCTGAGCACTGGTATTCATCCCCCTCTGCTGGGCATGGTGAATACAATGTGGCCAGCTTGGTAAATAAATACAACGTGGCCAGCTTGGTAAATACAATGTGGCCAGCTTGGTAAATAAATACAACGTGGCCAGCTTGGTAAATACAATGTGGCCAGCTTGGTAAATACAATGTGGCCAGCTGCTTCAGGCTCCTGCTGCCTGCACTTCCTGCCATGATGTACTGTAAGCTAGGAGCTGTGAGTCACAATTGATGGGGGATGTTCTTCTGTATGCTGTGAATATATGTTTCTTCTACTGGTTGATGAATAATGGGCAGGCCAATGGGCAGGCAAGATGGAGCCAGGCAGGACGTCTAAGCAGGGGAGGAGACTATGAGAATTGAGGGAAGAGGAACACAGGGGGAGAGTTGCCAGAGACTTGCCATGTAGCTACCGGGAAGATAGGATGCCAGGCATTCTCTGGTAATCAAAGAACACTTGGATGAATAGAAATGGGTTAATGATTAAGAGAGAGCGAGCCAATAAGAAGCCTGAGCCATTGGCCAAACAGTTTATAATTAAAACAAGCCTCTGTGTGTTTATTTGGGCCCAAACGGTTGTGAGCCCTGCAGGACAGAAACATCCGTCCACACACAATAAACTCTCCTTTAAGTCACTTTTGTCAGATCTCCAGGCAACAGAAAAGCCACCAAGAAAATCTACTAGTTGTTCCATTGAAATGCAGAAGCAAATGAAGGGAGGAAGGGTTGATTTCAGGCCATGGCTTTAGGGGATCACAGCCCTCATGGCCGAAAGGGTGTGGCGGCCTGGATGCCTGCAGTGAGTGGCAGAGACATCTCCGTTCTTGGCAGACAGGGAAGCAGAGAGCCTGAGCTTGTCAGGGCCTGTTTGCAGCTACCTGTTTCTGCCACCACATCACACAGGTTCCCTCTCCTCCTCACAAGGCCACCGGCTAGGAACCAAGTGTTCAGGCACACGTGGGAGATGTTTTGGCTCAAGCCCAACAAACTGCATCTACTTTGAGTCGTATGTCTACCCACGAGGGCTGGGGAGGAATGAAATGAGCTGATTGGCCAGGCTCAGGGGCTCCTCTTTGGGTCCGAGGTGAGGTCAGCATTCGCCAGTCCCAGAAGACAGAGGTGAGAAGTAGGAGAGCCTGAAGAGAAGGCAGCAGACATGGGGTGATGTGGTCCACATACTGTGGGTCACTAACTGATTCCAGAGGACCCACTGGGCCATCAGAAACTAGAGGGGCAGGGGCCTGGGGAGATGCTCAGACAGTAAAGTGCTTGCTGTGCAGGTATGAGTTCGAGTCTCAGACCCACATTTAAATAAATAGGAGTGGTGGTTTATGCTCATGATTCTGGCTGGTGCTCACTGGCCAGCTAGCTTAGCCTTTTTGGTAAGGTCCAGGCCAGTGAGAGACTCTGTCTCAAAAAAAAAAGAAAAGAAAAAGAAAAACCAAGGCAGACAGTGACTGAGCATGACACCTGAGTTTTACGCACATGCGCCTGCGCACATGCGCACGCATGCACGCACACACACGCACACCTGAGTTTTACTCGCACGCACACGCGGATGCATGTAGGCACACACGCGTGTGCGCGCACACACACACACAGAGGGTGGGGGGAGAGGAGCTATTGCCTGCTGTGTCTCAACTCCCAGGCTTGCTCTCCCGACCTCCCCATTTGCTAATCGACTTCCTACCAGCACAGCCTCCCTAACATCCTTCAAACAAGACTTTCTCCCTTCATCTGAAGGGAGCTGGGGGAAAAAGCAGAATTCATTTGCATGTCACCTAAAGTACTCTGACTGTGTCTTATCGCCTCCACAGAGTGCAGCTGTGTAATTACGGTCACCTTCGGCCTCGCAGTTTGTCTTATGAAAAGGTTATGATGAACGGGGACAAAAAAAAATCACTGAGAGACACAGCCGAAGTCTCCTTTGCAATTGTCCTTTCAGCCCCAAGTTCAGAGTTCCAGCAAATCGCTTCAGCAGAAGCAGCGTATAAGCTGCCTCAAATATGTGTGTACATGCATTATATATATGTGTATATATATATATATATATGAAATGTATGTATTTTTGGGAAAAATTCTCCAAGATGATGGAAGGTGTGACTGATTTCAAGAGGGGTGTTGGTGTGTGGCCAGTAATTTACATGAACAGGATTTCCAGGGCTCATTAAGACCTTGAAATAGGAGTGTTAAAATTCAGCATTTTGGTTTGAATTCAGTTTCTGCTATGGGGGCTTTCAGGCTTTAAAACCGCCTCGTTTTCCCTTGCCATTAGCTTGCAAAGACATTTTAGAAGACTTAGCCTGTCTTTAGGAATCTGTGTTCCTTGTTAATAAGCGGAGTTGATGGTTTTTGCAGAAATCACTTCTGTGTCACTCTTGTTCTTCAGGGTGGATGCTGTCCATTGGGGATCAGAGGAGAATGGTTGGAAAATGTCA